TTTAGGTCTAATTTAGACCGGGATCACTTTGTAAGACTCAGTTAAGAGCCCGCAAGCCTCCCCGCCACGACAAGGCGGATCCCGTGGGGAGGAACCTAACCTAACCTAACCTTTTTTTTTGTCTTTATCATGGCGCTAGAATTAGAGGGGAACCACACTCTGCCGAGTCGTGAACCTTCCCTCTAATCTATCCATATCCTTTATTAAAGAGAAAACATTACAATAATTTAGTTTACAGATATTGAAGGGCTCTACCCCTTCTGCTTTCACCTTCGGTGCACATTATAATTCTTAACTACGCGATTCGTTAATATAGTCAATTCAGCATTCTTCTTCTTTCCGCCTGCCTCTCTTCTTCTTCTTTTGTGCCCAGGGATTTTGCGACGAATGTTTTCACCGCCAGCCAATTCCTCTTGGACTGCAACATGATTTGTACAATTGATTCCGCTCCGATATCACTTCCTACATTGACTTCGAGGCTCCTCCTCTCCCGCCACCATCTATCACACATGAAAATCGTGTGTTCCGCATCATCGACAGGGGCTTGACAGTCCACGCATTCCGAGCTTGCACGAATTTTGTATTTGTTCAGGTAGTACCCGAAACATCCATGACCGGTCAACATTTGGGTTAAGTGGAAGTCTACATTTCCAAAACCTCTATTTGTCCATATATCTATATCCTTAATGAGTCTTCTCGTCCATCTTCCCTTTTCTGACTCGTCCCATTCTTTTTGTCAATCCCTGTATGTACTTTTCCGTAACTCCTKCTTATTTACTTCAAGKYCACTTTTACTTTGTCTGTATTTCTCCTGCCTTTCTCTAGCCACGAGGTGTGCCGGGATGGTCCCTGCCACCACCAATATTGCTGGTGTCGAAACCTTCCGATACGCCATAGCTATACGCAGAGCCATTTTTCTCTGTGGTCCTAGTAACGTATTTATATTTTTCTGGAATTTTAAAGCTCCTGCCSATATCGGCGCTCCGTAAAGTAGCTGGTTTTGAACAGTAGATGCTATTATTTTTCATTTGTCTTGTTTTGCTCCTCGTACATTTGGTAAGATTCTTTCTAAGGCACCGGCTGTTTTACCTGCCTTAACCGCTGCATATTTAATATGTGATCCGTAACCGAGTTTTTTACTGAGTTCTATACCCAAATACTTAAGCTTTTCCTTCGGTTCCACCCTAATGTTATTGATTTTGAACACTAGTTCTCTGTAACCTCTCTTTTTGGTAAGCATAACGCATTCTGTTTTATCTGCCGCCAGCCTTAAATCATTCTCCTTCATCCAATCGGATATCTTATCTAACGCCTCGTTCGCCCTTTCTTCTAGAATATCGGTTGTCCGTCCCGTCACTATAAGGGCCACATCATCAGCGAGGTGGATGAGTTTCCCTGCACACCTAATAGCTGCGTGTCTAAATCCATATGTAAGAGCTTGTCGTACATAATATTCCACAGGGTCGGTCCGAGAACCGATCCCTGCGGCACCCCACACGTTACATTCTTACTTTTGTCTTCTCCGTATCTTAGTTGCCTATTATATAGGTACTCCCAGTTAGCCGAGTTAAACGCGTTGGCAACATCCAGAGCTACCAACACGCACAGTTCTCTTCGACGCAGCGGACCTGAAGACGCGTTATCCACCTTCTCCATTGCTTTGGAGATGGCATCGGTCGTCGATCTCCCTCAACCTAACCTAACCTAACCTAACCTTTTTTTTTGTTTTTTTTTTTTACATGCAATCGACACATGGGGTGGTACTAACCTAGCGGTCATTTCACCCCCATGAGCCATCATTTAGTGTCGCGCCGGGCCAATCTCCCGACTTAATACCTTACATTTTGATTTACAATTTTTTTTTTTTTTTACATGATGGTGCCCTATGACAGTCTCCTAGTTACTATCTCACAAGTATTTTGGTTATGTTTGCTGTTCTGTCTGCTATCTTGCTATCTCCGTTGTCTCGTTGGCTCTCGGTTAACTTCTCGGGCCGACCGGAGTCCGCCGCCCTAGTTGTTCCCGTTCGTGGCTGTTCCTCAGGTTTGCGCGTTTGTCTGCCTCCTCCTCTCCTCTGCTTCCTTTTTCCTCGTGATCTCCACTATCACATCGGTGATTGTGTCCCAGTTTGCCTTTGAGGTGAGCATCGTCGGGATGAGACTGTTGGGAGTTAAGTCTATGTCCAGCTTCATCTCTACTTCTCTCCTTTTCATGCGCCAAGCGTCACATTTGAATTCCGTGTGTTCGGCATCGTCCACTGGTTCTCCACAGAATCAGCATTCAGATGTTTCTAGTTTTCCGAATCTCTTTAGATCTGCGGCGAAGCAACCGTGACCGCTTAGGGCTTGGGTTAGATGGAAGTTAGTTTCCCCGTGATGGCGGTTCATCCAAGGCCCGATTTTGCCTTTGACAGCGTGTGTCCATCTCCCGTTTTTGCACGTGTCCCATTCGGTCTGCCATGTTTCCAGGATGTTTTCTTGCGGTTTTCCTTGTTCCCTGTTCCTCTTCCGGTCGTGAATTTGTTTCCTTTCTCTAGCGAGCAGGTTTAGAGGGGTGATGCCCGTGATGACTGACACCGCTTCCCTYGAAATCGTGCAGTACCCGCATGCCACTCTCAGGCATATTCGTCTCTGCACTTTTAGGAGTTCGGTCCAGCCTTTCTCGCTCATTTCGTCTGCCCATACTGGAGCACCGTACAGCATCACTGAGTGTGCTACGTTGC